CTCCCACGAGTGGCTCGTCGTCTGCCTGGCCGGGCATAAATCATCAATCCATAACTCAGTTTGTGGGTCACGAATGCAGTTTGCATTCTGTCATCGCGGCGACGATTTAGCTCGCGACACGAATTCAATAAATCAAACGCGTGCCGCAACTGCGTGCTGCCCGCCAATGATTGACACGCCTTTTTGACGACGCGTCGGTCTTTGGAGGGGGGCTGTAGCCAGGAGGGGGGGGTGTGGCCATGTCGTATGCCCAATGTGGTCAATTAGCAGCACTATGCTCTTTGGCGGTAACTAATTAAAACGCGCTGAGCAAACACTATCCTCTGCCCTGACCACGCCCCCTCCTCTATCAGGCCGGGCAACTTGGGGCACGTGCGACTAGGATTTGTGAGGCGTTCTATGCTTATTTAGTTTGCTGATTAATGACAGCTGACACAGGTATAAAAGGAATGACAGACAGACAGAGACAGAGAGAGAGAGAGTGAGAGAGAGAGAGCGAGATAGAGAGAGAAATTGATGTATCACGCATAGTGAAGCGTGCCTAGACAACATATTGCGCATACGCCCAGTGGGCGGTTAAATAAGATAAATTGCTAAAACGTTTGCCCGGAATTGTAGCTGATGTCCAATTCGGTTTGACAACAAAGAAAAGAGTTTGTTTAGCCGGTCATTTAACTTTCTGTTGGCATTTCGTAGAAAGTATACTCAACTGCTAACTCTTGTTGACTTGAATCTAGTCTTGAGCTGTGGGCAACTCCACTCTGTCACTTTTGCTTCGGTAGGGAGTCTTTGAGCATGTACTGTAAAGTGCTGTTACTGTAAAGATCCATATGGAACTTCTCCACAGAGACACCTTAGTACAGCTAATTGATTTAGTTTTGAATGAATCGATACTTAGCTTATATGATTCATCTTATGCTCCAGCTTATATTGCCTACTAGCAAATGGCAAAGTCTTACTCTGGTCTAGAATTAGCCATTATATATCATGATCTAATGCTGTCAAACTTTTGGCAGCCACAGCCGCAATTTCCGCTTGTCTGTGCATTGGCCGTGAACACTTAAAATTAAAGACGCTTTGAATGGAGTCCGCATAAAGCGAGTTGATTGCGGATGTGCTAACTACATGGAGATCTGTTACACTTGGCTGATAATTCCCATAATTTGGCAGCTCATTTAGATTTGGATTGTTCGCACTTCACTCTTTGCCTCGGCCCAATTGTATGAAATTTACTGTGCACAACTTGTTCATTAGATTAATTATATTTCGTCTATGAGGCGAGAGAAATGAAAAGCAATTTGTCACGTGCCATTTGCCATTGGCCATTTGGCCATTTGGCTTATAGATTTGAATTTCAGCGATTGGCAATTTAATTAGAGAAATACATTGGGAATTCACTTGCTGAAGATGCAATCGAGGGTTGTAGCAAATCATTTGCATGCACACACATACACATACGAAATTTTAATATTCATTCTTTTGTAATTATCTCATTATTATTTTCTTGAAATTTGAAATTTATAACTTAAGATAGAACAGCATCTATAACAAATTTATAAAGTCTTGCAGACCTTGAACTGTAGTTACTAATTCGTTTAGTACAGTTATGCTAATAGCGAAACAAGTATGTGTCATTTAGTCAGCCATGCTTGACTGGGAAATACCCGAATGTGGGCTACCTTCTAAGCTTAGGTATCTTCCTTAAGGAGACGCCTCTTTCGGCCCATTAAATACACAGTTAAGTCTAGGTCAAGTTTCAAGGCATCATTCAAGGAGATGTCGCATTGATATTTCTCCCAATTAGCAGTAAAATGACGTATTTCAGAAATTTAAGGAATCTCCAATTAATATTTACATAAAAAACCATCGAGATTTATTGGTTCTGCCAATTGACGTCGAATTTTGCTCACGTTTCTGTGGTTATTGCTAATCAGTCAATCGTAAAAATAATTGATGGTTCGTTCAGACAGGTAAGAGGCAATTATTAAAGGAATGCGTCGAAAGAGAACATAAAAAACTGATTCATGCATTCACCCAATGTTTACCAAACGCCAAATGAATGTCGCACGGTTAAATGACGAATAAACATTAAAGAAAAACCCATTTCGCACATGGCCTACGAGGCGTCAACATAAAGTAAAACGATAATGCTTGCGTCACTAGAGAGATTATAGATACTAAAGATATTATTTATCGTTTTTTATCTTCTATGAGAAGACGAAGCAGCTGCTGAACAAATTCAACAAAAACAAAAACAAAAATCCGAAAAAACGCGAAAATTAGAAAAAATATATAAAAATTTGCTCGAAATCAGTTTGTGATATATGCACATATATATGTATATGTATGTATATACATTATTAAATAACTTGATGATCTCTTCAATCAAGCTCTTTAAGTAAGCTTGTCTACACGTGCAGCAGCTTAAATGTATCTTCAAGATATAAATACTTCACTCACTCAATACGAATCTATCTGCATTCAGTTAAACACGAAGCGAGACTGAGTAAGCCAAGCAACGAACAAAGTAGAGATGAAGAGCTGGAGTAACGTTTCAGTGCGGCTCAATGTTGTTGCTGTCTGTGCATATTTCCCTATGCTTGCAGCAAGACACACACACACATATGTATATACTCAAACTGAGAGAGAGACGTGCGTACGTGCGGGCGTGTGTGTGTGTGCGTGTGAGCAGCTTTAGGCTGCCGCTGTCAACAGAGACAAGACAAAAAGAAGAGAAGAAACAAAAAAAAAAACAGTTTCTGCTTATTTGTATGCGTGTGTGTGTGTGTGCTTTACCAAATTAGCAAAACCGGTTTAGTGTGTGTGTGTGTGTGTGTGAACTTTAGGCAAGGGACTTAGCAAGGGCATCGGGTGTAGCAGTACCAGCAGCAGCAGCAGCAAAAAAAGACATGCTAAAGATAAACAAAAGCCGCTTTTGCTCATTAGCCATTGTTGTCGTGTGTTGTTGTTGTTGTTGTTGCTGCTGCTGAAACGCGCGACTGATTCGAGCAGTCAAACATTTGCCCCACCTCTCAGAACAAGCAACGGCACCCACAAACTCCAGGTAGAACTAACTGCTCAGCTTTTTGGCAAATTTTATCAACAAGGTCGTGAGCGCAAAGCAAAACTAAACAAAAATTGAGAGCGAACATGAAGGAGAGCATGCAAGCGAGTGAGCGAGTGAGTGAGTGAGTGAGTTAGCGAGCGAGTGAGTGAGTGAGCGAGAGTAAGACAAAGTGTATGCCAATGCTCTACTGCATGCATAGCAAAGGCAAGTGTGCGGGAGGGAGATGGAGTTTGTGTGTGTGTGCGTGAGAGTGAATTCAACAAGTCGCGACTCGCGAGATGCTCTTTGCTTGGTTGCCTCTGTGCATATGAATACATATTCGCGCTCATTTAATGCATACTTCCACGTGCGATCTGAGCTGGGTGTGATAAGTGCTGTGTTAGCGTGTTGGAGGGAGGCTGCACTCTACCCACTGGTCCAGTTGCGTGGAGAAACGAGTTTAGCAAACAACAATTTCAATTCATATTTGCTTAATTGGGATATTGTCATTTCAGGCACACAATACGCAGTTGCTATATACGTCAATATTTGAGATAAACACGCTGATAACCTCATCCAGAGCCAGAGGCTAAGCTTCTGTCGGAGCACAAATACTCCCTAATGGCTATAATACGATAATGCAACATTAGTAAAATATTGCTTTTAATACTTTTTTGCAACAGTCTAACAGCATTTTTGAATATTTAATTTTATCCATAAAAAACAAGAGAATATTTAACTGTTTTTTTTCTCAAAATAAAAAATGATTTCATTGTGGCCAACCGACCGGCTGGCTTCATTTGCAAAGCTGGCAAAAAGCTACATACACAAATATGATAAAGAAACTGTTGTTGTTGTTGGGTTTCTTGCTGTTGTTGTTGCTGTTTCAATATGCAAATCAGCAGAAATCGTGAGCATGCGATAGCGACCCGTATTAATTGCAGCTTTTAGCTTTAATGTGCAACAAAAGGCCAAAGGCAGAAGGCCGAGCATTAACTGTAAGTAAACTAGAACTCATATACTCCAAATAGGGGTAAATATATGTGCAGTGGAATGAATACTGCGTAAGACAATGAGGGCTTAGCTATGATCTAAGAGATCTAAACATTCACTGGAGTAAACAGTCGAAAAGTCTGTGCTATAAAGCTGTGAACTTGACGATCTTAATATACATTAAATTACTGCATGAGACAATGATCTAAAAGAGCAAAGGAGAGCTAAAGTAAACACTACCGAAGAAATTTAGGTAATTAGCTAAAGATCTAACAGATCGAATTGAAAGATATCATATGAAAATGTTCTAAGACCCTACAGATTTGAATATAATACAAAGGGGCTTACCTTTTATTAGCCTTAATAAATCTAAAATATGGCAAAAAGGCTTACATTGTTTGTTTACGATCTAAATGATCTAAATATATGCACTACATTGAGCTCTGTATAGAAGGCAGGTCTGCGTGTACTTATATATTTCATATATGTATGTATGTACATATATATATGTAGTTTCCAACATATTAAAGTCTCTTGAGATTTCTCTCTCCTCCTTGCTCTCAGCCTCTTTCAGTGTTACTGAACCAATTCAGTATCTGCCTCTTTTTTGTGAGTTTACTTTCCATCTCTCGCTCTCGCTACCAATCCGTTTCTCTTTCTCTATCTCTCTCACTCTACCTCTCCACCCGCTCCACTGTAAGCATTTGTTTACCCTGTTTTAGAACATGTTTCAATTAAAAATTATGTTTTATTATCAATTGAAGTTAATAAAGAACGCGTTCGTTGACTCTTTGTCGTTTCATTTTCGAATATCGCGTGAGCGCTCTCTGTTTGTATATTATTTCATACAGCAGTAGGTCTATATACACTTGAACATACACACATACATATTACCATACATTTATTAGTGTTATATTTTTATTTGTTTTCTGCTTATACTTAATTCGCTCTTGTCACTGACCGTTTTTTGTTTTCGACCGTCGTTGCTGGTTGTTGAACGTATCGTTGTATACTGAATGTTTCTCTCTCCCGAGCAAGAACTTATAATTGTATTCAGTTGTTGTCGGACTGTTAAGGCGAGCGGAAAGAATATTCTCGCCGCTCCAAGATCTTTTCGTATTTATAGTCTGAAACAATTGCAAGTGAGAGCAAACTGGGCATATTGATTGCGAGCATTCGGTAGGAGGTGTGGCCACAAAGCATATAGAAACATGATCTGGACCTGAGTCGATCCAGCTCTCTGTCTCTTCTGTTCAATGTAAACAAAAGAAACATATTTGGAATAGTACAATCTACATATATTTTTGGCATGTCTTTACATATCTATAGCATAATTATTTTCTGGAAGTTTCACATAGATCGCACATTCGGAATCGTAGTTCAATCAGCCTATTACCCCTAATGACCGAGTAGACTGAATGATCGTATTATGCGCAACTGTGCATAAATTGTAAAACATATTTAAAGGAATCATGGTATCTAAGAGTCGGGTAATCTCAACTAGGTTTAACTTAGGATCCAAAGCTCATATTTTATTTACGTCACTTTATAAATGTATGTCTAATGGAACAAAGGTTACCAGCTTCAGTGATTGGATTCAGTATGACTAAGTTCTTTATCATCATCTTGGGAAACTGTAAAGCGTTCTCTAAGTATTCGAATCGGATATGCAAACATTGTATTTTTGAATCGTACGAGCTCTTTAAATACACTATTGGTATACATATACATATATGTACATGTATATGTATATGTATATTATTATGCTTCTATCGACTCATATGAACCTTTTCGATTTCTTAACGACATAAAAAAGTCACGTTTTCCATGCACTTGAATAAATTTTGCATTTACGATGCAATTGTGAACACTAATTACTGCTAAACAATTTTATGATTTAAAAATCCATCTAAATTTTTCAATTTTCAAATGCTGATAGGAGAAATATTATTTTGAGTCACGAAGTTACGACGCTGACTTTGTATTGTAAGCAACGCTCTATCGATCGTATATCTTAACAGCATATATGGCTTATACCTCAGATATAATCCACAGTAATTTATACTGTTATTAAGTATATTTGTCAGGTATACTGTTATTAAATATAAAGATATAGATTATATAAAAACATGTTAAAATAAATAGCAATAGTAAATATATTACTTCATGAGTAACAGATTCATGGCAGATGGCCGCCTTCTTATGGGGTTTTTCCTGATTACTTCCAAATATGTATTTGTAATTAATCTGTGCTTTGTATAAATATTTGTGTCCAGTATATGTATATTGTATTGTATGAAGAATCACACAGAATTATATTTGATATGCAAATGAAAGTTAACAAAATTCTATTTGCTATGGCCTTGCTATGCTAAAATGGTGTTTGCTGAGTTGCGAGTTCGAGCCCGCACTGGGGTAAATGATTTGGGGTGTGTTGAATAAATACAGATATTTATTTAATTTTTATTTTATTACAAAATATAAATATATGCATAAAACAAAAAACAAAACTGCCTCACAGCCTTGCTAAAAATCATAAAATATTTATGTTGGCATATGTCATGCTCGTAGTAAGCGCAAAGCGAGATAGCATGAGCGGCGCAATATTTCATTGCGATCCTCTCTTTATTATACGTGTCTCTTGCTCTTAGTTATTTATAAATGCTCTCTGAACTGTATATGTATGTGTGTATATGTGTGTAAAGTCAACAATGCACACGTAACGAAATACTCAAGCAGTTCGGGAAAATGTAAGTTAGCCGCAATGTTAATGATGAAGGGTGTGGTGTTGCAGGTAAAGTGTTGCGCGCACAACTCAAAGACGCGGGTTCAAACCCCGCTGAGGTCACTTTTATAAATTAAGTAAGTCTATGTAATCTATTTTAATACTCCAATGCGACTCATCATGGCATAATGATTCGACTCTTTCATAGACGAAAAATTTCCGCATGAATCGTAGAGCAATCCACTGGGGTTAATGCACGTGTCTACTGACATTTTCATATCGTGAATGACAGTGCTTCGTGCAATTTCCGTACAATACTATAACTTATATTTTAGTTTATGCTTAATTTTTTTTAATTTCTTCATTTTAGCAACCACAAATTTTGTTGGAAAATTCACGCAAAGCGTGCGCCGCATTGTGCAGGATGTGAAGGACGAGGGCGCACCGAGCGGCATGACGCGCGATGAGGTTATCGAGACGAACGAACGCTTGAGATCATTACGGCTGCGCCTCGAGGAGTCCTACGACACGGTAAAGAAAGCACTGATTAATCTAATGAACCAATACGGCGACTCGAAGAGCCATCGCAACATCTTTCAGCGCTATCCCATGCTCAAGCTAATGATTAAGGTAAACCGATTAGAGTGATGTGATTTGACAATACTAATAGCAAGTGACTGCAGGAAGTTATACGGCTGGAGACTCAGTATTGGACGTTAGTCGATATTCCGCGGCAGGAGAAGCAGGAAACTGTGCCCTCGTACGTGATGCGCGCCTGCTCAATCATGGAGAAGACCCAGAAGTCGGGCGAGGGCGTCAAGACCTCGGCCCGCCTGGCCGAGGAGGCGGCTGAGCGCAGGGAGCGCATGGAGCGCCTGGAACGTAAGTTGAGTCGTTAAGTCGAGTGATTAACACTGATTAGCTCCATCTAACCGCCAATAGACATGACAACGGCACAAATTGAGCTCGAGAATACGCAGCTGATTAATGATTTATATCGCTTGCTGAAAAAGTATCTGGGCTTGCGGCACTTGATACGCGTGCTAAAGGTGAGCGAACGAGTCAACGAGCAATCGAATTTGAATTGAAAGGGAACAAACCCTATTTTCTCTCTCTTTCTCTTTGTGCCCGCAGGAAGAGTACGGCAGCTCAAAGATGTATCCGATATTTCCGCGGTACACAATGCTCAAGGACATGATAAAGGGCATTATGCACGACCCCGACTACATGGAGGTGTGCCATGAAACGCTGGCCAACTCCAACTGAGCCGAGGCATCCGGAAATGGCAGGCGTCGCATGAGTGTCATATGAGAGGGCCAGCAGGAGACAGCAGACAATGCGGCACACGCACACTAATCCAACCGGACCGGACCGGACCGGATGTGTGTGTGTGACTGTGTGAGTGTGTGTGTCTGTGTACTGGATTTCATATGCGACTTTCTGCCATCTTCCGAACATGTTTAACAATTTTCAATGAACGTTAACTTTTTTGCATAGTTAGATACAAATCTTTAGATAATTTTTAGCCAAACAGAAAGGCAAACTAAACAAAAGCAACAACAACAACAACAACAACAAAACACCTACCCCACCACAAAAGTAAACTACTTAACTACAACAACAACTAAAACTACAACAAACTATTTACCACCAGCAGTAAAAGACCGTAGATAAAACTTGGCTAAGAGACAGATGGAGAGGGAGAGAGAGAGATAGAGAGAGAGAATAACCAAATCAAAGCAAAACAAAACAAAACAAAACAAAAAGAAACGCATTTATTTTAATGACTTTTTGAGATGAATATAAGAACTACAAGAACAACAAAACCAAAACTAAAACACAAAATAAACAAAAACTAAACTTAACTTACGCGAATGATGTACAACTCAAGTATTAAATATCCTCCACGAATACATAATATAAAGCATTAGCCACATACATACATACATACATACATGTGTTTATGTGTACCTCAGCCATATCCATACGTCTATTGAAGATAGAACAGAATTATATTCTATTTTGTATGAATTCTGTGCAATTTTAAAGTTAATGGTATTTCAGTTTTATAAATTTATTTTATAAAATCTCATGACTTCAAACTGAAAGTTTAATTTAAACATTTCATTACATATATAAAAAATGTGCTAAAATTTTAAAAGTTTCATGAATATCCTTCTTAAATTTAAAAAATTTGATAGATTATCCATTTGTATACATTTTATAAACATTCTGGAATCAAAAGCAATTTCTTAAATCATTTTAAAAACTTCATAAATTTTTAAATATTTATTATTTATTTTTAAGAGAAATCAAATGAAATAATTTTAATTTCATATATTTTAAATTCTAAAAAAATTTTATTTGTTTCTTTCAATAAGTATTGCTCTGTTTCCCATTTTCAGAATTATGATCTAGTTAAAAGTAAATCTAAATTAAATTAAAATCTTATTTATATACATCTCTAGGCATATTTCAATATTAAGCAAGTAAGCAATTTGTGGTCGGGCGTAACCGACTGACCAAATACTCGTTCACAATACAAAAGAAGGTAAAGAAGGTAATCTCTAGGTCATCCTCTAGCTGATCGTAGCCCCTAAACTTATTACTTAATCTGTAGACCCAACTCTTCTGTTTTCCAATATGCCACCTTCTTAACCTAACTTTTTATACCCTGAACCCATTGAAAATGGGAAATCAGGGTATAATGGTTT